TGCAAATTGGCAAGAAATATCGCTGCAGAAACTGCGGCTATGCCCTTAAGGGTGAAAAAGAAAGGTACGTTCGTCCCTTAAGTGACTGTGGATATGGTTTAGCCTCGACCTTCGACCCCACGGAGTCAAGTGCAATGTGGCAGCCCTTAAATTTAATATCGAGGGGTTGCGATTCTCTTTGCTTGGGTGTGTCTGTGTATATATATATATACGCTATCTGTCCGCAGTGCAGTCGACATCGATTTTTCTTGGGGGTGCATCTTTCTTGGTTTGTCTTTTCTCTTTGTTTACCTTATCTTTTCTCTTGGACGTTTCACCCTCTTATTTTCCCCTCTGCCTCCGTAACTCGAATCGATGACTCGGTGCTGTAAGGAGTTCATTCAGAGATCGAACATGACTCGGAGCTTACTTCACTCCTATGAAGACTCGGTATAAAAAGAAACGACTGAGGAATGTACGAAGACACTGAAGTTGCACGCGAATGCCGTCGCGAGGGGGTGTCGATAGAGCCGATGGGTCCAGGGAGGGTAGCTGTGAAAAAAAAAAAGTTATTTCTCAATGAGAGAGGGCGCCACGGTATAGAGGGTCTGTTTATTTTTAGAGGGATACTGTTTTCTGTTTGCTGCGGTTCTATATTTACCAAACAGTCGTCTCGCGGCTCCGTCTATTACCCATGTGGCCCAGCCACTCCAAAGGAGGAACCCGGTAAAACGATAATTTACTTCACGGAATAACTTATACTCGTTAGGTGATACTCCAGGGACGTACGTGAAGTTTTTTTAAATGGGGGGCAGTCTTCCAATTCTTATTTTACAAGGTTCCGTTCACGCTTAATTATCCCGACGAAGATCTAGGTCGATGGGACAGACTATCTGTGGAATTGCGGAAATATGACGATTTGACGTTTGAACCTTTGTTCCGCGACTGACTTCCGGTTCTGGGTTACCGTTGCACGTGCAATTACCCACAAATCATCTTCACTCAACTCCCTGGTACTTTGTTAGTATTAGAATTTTGGAACTGTACGACTTGGTTGGAGTTGCCTGTATTAAAGTATGTACATGGTGGGCTGAAAAAATGTATCTTATTGTTCTACACAGTAGGTGCCTAGGACGCGTGAAAAAGGATACGTGGCCACGTGTGGATCTTGGCAGGAATCTGAGGTGCGCTGTGTATCAGGAAACCAGTACGTAATGGGATAGCAGTAAGTGGGAAACACTTGAGGATGGGAATTGCTGCGCTTACCATTGGCTCAAGTTTGAATTTCAAAGGGGGTTCCCCTTGTACGGACAACTTCAATCTGATTGGTCGAACGTGTTTGTTATTGGACGAGCATGACGGCGCTTATGGTAAATTGTCGATGTGACGCCTGGGCCAATCTCCTTCAACGAATATCGTATTATGATCTTTTGTTGGAAAGAAAATGGCGGTTCTACCGTGAAACTAGTTCTTATTCCAGTGAAAGATAACAGCCGGATGCCGGGGCTCTCGTAGTAAGTCGTAGAGAAGGCTGCCGTGTTAGGGGTTGTATTTTTGCATTGTCGTCACGTGCGTGATCTTATTACTAGCACACGTGGTGTAATATTCTACCCTTGTGTTTCCCGAACTACCCCTACCGGCAAAAACTCTCATCGGAGGGGAAGGGGCGGCTCCGTCGACGACGGGGAATCCCCCTTAAACGTTGTTGGGATGCGACACCGGTATCCGGGAGGGATGATCGAATGCTGCCAAAGTTTCCGTACAGGGCCTGTCTAGAAAACTACCCTCTGTGCCATGTCCGGAGAAAGCCTTAAACATCCCTTATTACTATCCTCGAGTATATTCCTGACAACCTACCCCTATACTCCCCAGTCGATCTATAGAGTTTCTGAAATTCTTTCAACCCTTAAAAAAAATTTTTTACATTAAACATTTTTTTCAAAATTTAAGGGTGTTATTTTAAGAGCGGGGAATTCAATGTCCATTTGGCTCTCAAATTGTGGCAGTGATTATATATTGACTCGGAAGCCTCGATACCGGAAGTTACATAGGTACTGTCTGTTTACGGATAAATATAGCCGTTCTACTTGGCGAACCGGTAATCGGCCGATTAAAATTATAATACAGGGTTTCGTGAATTAATTTACAACCCCTTTCTCTCGTACTTTCAGCTAACCCCTAGACCATCCCCACCAAGTAAATCCCTCATTAATATTAAGGAAAATTAATAATTAACTCTGGCAGGTAACCCGAGACCCGATTTCCGTATCGTGTTACCATTTACGTCCCCGAGAGGGTGTATCGAATTTTTATTTTAATTATCGTTATCTCTCATCGCGATTTCAACCCCTAACGGATAGCAGCGCAACACGAGAACGAATTTATCTTTTTCATCGTTATATGCGTATCGGGTCATTTTGTGAAATGCGTACCTAACCCAACCTAACCTGTGTATGCTCATCCCCTCGTACCTATCTGCTTGGATACCCAAACTCACCTAGCCTTACGTGAATATTTCTTTAGAAATTGACTGAGGGTAACCGAAGTATCGCAATATGAAAAAACCGGTTACCCGGGAATCGAATATTCATTCGGACGAATACGTCGAAATGAATAAAGTTTTGTCGATTGTCGAACGGGCATCAGTAAATACTAGTAGCGTACCGGCAGAATACTTTCAAAAGAGATTTTACTCGTTCAACCCAGCATCCCGCTGTCCATATATGTCGTACATATGTGTACCGTAGTAACGTTACGTACACCCTGTATATATATGTATGATCCGATCGCCCGATGCAATCTTCCACTCAGACGACACTCAATTCAGCCTTACGGCGCAATTATCTTTTTACCCACGTTATACCAGCCTCTATAGCGGCTCAGTTCGCCTAGTCGAAGTATTACGATTTTATTACAGCTCGCGCTTAGCCTGGACACGAACCAAAATTTAAGTATCCATCGATTTTTAAAAATTCGCGTTACCTTGCCACCCTTACCTCGTGCACGATTCTTTGATGCTTCGTATCTCCCAGTAATTACTTGGGGCGCGGAAGAGTGTAGTAATAAAAAAAAAAGAGGTAAATTTGAATATTTTTGTAGCACGGACACAAACCACTTTTTTTTTATTCGGTCCTAGGATTGTTTCTGTACGTAACTGTGGGCTGGTTCGAACGTATCAGTAACTAGTTGCCAATTATCGAAATTCATGGAAGCATCGGGGCCACGTTCCAATGGAAACTCGTCATTATTTCTCTATTAGACTTTTTTCCCCCGCAATCGATAGAAACTCGTATTTTGAAGTCTGATTGAAAAATAACACGAGAGTATCGACTGTAGCGCCAAAGGATACAGTGTACAGTGTGCGTCTGCCTAAAGCGGGTATATCGAAAAATTTGTCATGGCTGGCAAAATGAAAAAAACGATAAAAAAAAAGAGAGAGCCACCATATCGCGACGATAAACGCGAAATTCAATATTGACAAGAGGTATTGTTAGTTTCAAGGCGGGGAAGGATGGCCTTTTGTTACGACCCTGTCAGTCCCGTTATTCTTATAGGATTTTGTGTCCAGGGGGTTGGTACCTATATACCCAGTGTCCTCGTCAGTCCCTCCGAGCGTGCATTATGTTGCTGGTAATGCTATTCATGAGCCGGCGTGATTATCGGAAAACTATATATTTATCCCAGGGCCGTATCAAATCCCTATTTTTATAGGGTGCCTGCGCCCCCCCGTATTATTCCGATACAATTTCCCGTGACTAAGAAAGATAAATTTTCATCCAAATTTGACTCTTCCCTAATTTTTCAAATTTCGCTCCCGCTTAAAATTTTTTCTTTTATTTCAACCACCTTTTATTACCATCACTAAAATAATTTTCTTTCTCTTACAGGCTGCCACCGCCACAACAGCAGGTGACGGTCGGCTCGTTGGGTGGCGCCGGGGCGCCCGTAGGTGCTGTGGGTGCAGGGTCACAGGGTCAACCATTGGCGATGCCAGTCTTTCCCTTAAGGGCTGCTACGGTGCCCCATTACTCGCCCTACTCGCCGTCCCGTTTTCACATTGACAAGCGATGCCAGCATCGATGCTCCTGGAAATGTTTTTCCATCGCACTCATACTGCTGGCTGTTGCGCTTACAGCGATGCTCGCCTACTTTGCAGGTAACTGTAATAATTAAATTTTTAAATAATCCGACAAAAAAAATTCATACTCGTACCATATAATTATTCAAAAAAATTATCTCCAAGCTGATCGTTTCTCTCGGTCCCACACTGTATAAAACTTTCTTGGCCCGTTATCGTCATGGCTATTGGCAACTTCAAAGGGGAATGGGTGAATGAGCTCAATTAGTATTTATAATGTCTCTTCGTTGACCACCATGAACTTCGACCGGTTGGCTCGTTCAATTACTGCTTATACAATGGCGTTTAATATTCATTACTCCATTAAATGACGATCGTACAATTTTCAATGTAAATGCGAAAATGCTTTCGTTCAATATTACCTGTACGTGTTACGTGCGATGAAATCTGCGCATTGGACGATGAAAGTTAATTTCATATGCTCACAGATATATCGATGCGTTACGTCATTGAAACTAATACGATAAAGTCAATAAATAATAAAGTAGTTTGTCGTGTTTTCTCCATATACCTATATGTATAACGAATATATATATACATATACAGCGAAGATGGTCGTCGGGTATTGTTGTCACAGTAGGAAGAAAATAAAGGGTCAGAAATAAGGGTTGCAGAGGGGCGTACACGTGTGACACGTGGGACGTCGGTAATGTAGAAATCAATAATGCGAGTGGCACGTGGTAATAAGGTTCTACGAAGGGTGTCTAAAAATAAGTGATTCGCTCTTTTTCCGAATCCGTCAACGACCTTTAGGTTAGGTTGGGATGCTTTATTGTCAAGTTTTGCTTTATTTTTAAAACCCATCTCCATTCCGGCTAACGTGCAAGGGATTACGTGTATGCGTGTATATACGATTCTTTTTAGCAATGCCGGAACACATTGGGGCCACGGTTTTATGAAGAGAAACGACGGTCTCGGATACGTCGACATTTTTACAAGGGTGACTTCCGCTACCAAATGCAGCTCACATCCGCCATTAACGCGCGCTATGGTTTGGGGGTTGGGTTGGAACTTGGAATTTTCATGGTATCACGAGGGATGAATTCCGACGGCTAATATCGTCTCCGGCGGAGGGGCTGAGAATGGTATAGGGGTTGTTTTCTTGAACCCTTCTGGGAACTTCGACGAGATTCCTATTGGTTCCTGAGCCCAAGCTCAGTGGTACCAATAACCAGTGGTCAATATTACATAATAATAATGGTAAATAGGAGGCGAAATAAACGAGTATAGCCAGGGGGGGGTTGTTCAGAAAGGGGGATGATTTAAGAGGGGTCGCCAGTAAACTCGAAATTCCCGGTGGTGTTTACTGGTGGGGCAGAAGGAAGTGGGAAAAGAATCCCTGGGCCAATAGGGGCCAGTCGCGAAAATCCTGTTGGGGTGGAAATTAGCGATGATCCGTCAAAGCGACGAGCAATGAGAGCGAGAGAGCTGGAGATAGATTTAAGGAAGGAAACCACAAGTCGGCCATTGCCGTCAATCAGTCGGAGCTAATCTTTTCTAACCCCTGTGCTCATTTAACATTTTTATCTTGGCTCCTTTCTTTCCCATTCACTTTCCCTCGGCCACTCCCTTCAGGCCTTGTTGCCGATTCTCTGTAGTTTTCTATTTGATTGACCGGTAAACTTGAAACAGTTGAACCCTGAAACCCTGCTTGACAATTCCACTCGTTGCAACGGTTGGTGGGGAATTTCAATAATTGTCAATCAAGTACAGGATTAACTTTAACTGTTTCAGCTGTCAGTTCAATGAGGCCCATTGACAGCACCAACTGTATTGTAGTTCAAGACGTCAAAGCTGTTACTCATGAAAACGCACACGTTCACGATCCCATATCCACGCAATTGCCTACAGAAGGTAAATATATACCATGTGAACGAACCTTTATGTCTATGGTTTTAAATACCGGTTTTTTCTGGGGAATCGTAATTTTAATTTTTTTTTTTTAATTAGAATCATTGCCAACCAGCACAGCAGAGCACTCGAGCGCAGTTGACAGCGCAGACCAGCAAAGCGACCCGCAGATTCAACAATCGGCTCAGCAATGGCCATCCGTGCTGGAATTGCAGGCGTACAACATGGCGCGTTCGGAAGTGATACCGCCTTATCACTTTTGGAACTTGGAATTTCGCAATAAGCAACCAGCTTTTATCAGGCTGAACCTGACTCTGCCTTGGGGCGCCAATTTCGCTGTGTACGGTCGTAGGAACGTGGCGCCCAGCGTCACGCAGTATGATTTTGCGGAATTCGTTAAGGGGGGCAGAGTCGATCATCGATTGAAGAGGGAAGCGATACCGGAAGCCGTCAGTTTCATGGAACGTCCGATTTCCGGGGAGCAGCAGGCTAACTTCTATGGTCACGTGCTGGTTAAACGCTCTCCAATGGAACCCATGCTCGTCAACGTGAGCCTACTTCAGTACCTGGACACTGGTCGCTGGTTCCTGTCTGTTTACAATGATGAACTTCAGCCCTATAACGTCACCCTCATCGTCACCGAAGCCGAGGGCGTCTCGACGACTTGTCCCAATGACTGTTCCGGTCGAGGTTCTTGTTACCTGGGCAAGTGCGACTGCATCGACGGCTATCAGGTTTGTGGATGAAGAAAAAAAAGGATTTTGAAATTCCAAGTTATGCTCATCCTTTATATTTTAACCATTTCACTATTCAACTTGGAATTGCTTGCATACCTTGAAAGTTTATCTTGGAATTTCAGGGCGCTGACTGTAGCAAGAGCGTTTGTCCTGTCTTGTGTTCATCCCACGGACAATATGGCGGCGGAGTATGTCACTGTGAGGATGGCTGGAAGGGTACGGAATGCGACATTCCTCTAGGTGATTGTCAAGTACCTGATTGCAATCAGCATGGACAGTGCGTGCGTGGATCTTGCGTCTGCAATCCTGGTTGGAAGGGATCCTTTTGCGATGAACGTAAGTTGGCTGAAAAGGGAAGCGTGAATTTATTTAGTAAAAATAGCTAATCCGAAAGCGGTCTATTAGCAGCGCCAGTGGGATCGTTAATGATGCACTGAGCACCCTTTTGGAATTGCTATTAATTTTGTAATCCGTAAATCTCACCGACTGTGTAACGTACCTGTTATTTCAAAGAGCCCTTCGGTATCCGGTCGTACGCTACACATTTAATTTAACGGTGTAAATGTCGAGTCGCTGGTAATTTCGTGTAATTGCTGGAATTGCCAGTGTTTCCAATGAAATTTTCCGTGACGCCGTACTCGCCTATACTGCAGCAGTTAGTTACATACATAGATAAGCCTCTGCGACAGGATTTAATATTTATTTATGCGTTGCATGCGAGCGCAATTGCTATTAGGGAAAGATCGCGGGACTAATTGCACCCTGATAACATTTACATCGTGCTCGAGGTAATTACCAAGAAATAAGAAACGGTGAAAGAGTGTAGGGAGAAGTAAAAATACCTTGAAGAAAGGAAATTCAGCAATTTGTATAAAAATGGTAGGAGTCGATCAACAAAAAAAAATTACAAAAAAATACAAAGCTTGTATTATCATATTCACGTTTAATCTCTGTCACTGTTATTATTATTACTTTGTACGTCACAACTTTGTATACTTTCCATATGGAATTTCATTCAATCCGTATCGGCCTGTTCTTCTGTTCAGCCGATTGTCCTGATCCCAGCTGCAATGGACATGGTGCCTGTGTAGCTGGCAAGTGCTACTGCAAGGCAGGTTGGCAGGGCGAAAGGTGCAATCAGGTTGATCAGCAGGTCTACCAGTGTCTACCCGGATGCTCCGATCACGGAAGTTACGATCTGGAATCGGCTTCCTGCATCTGCGAAGAACATTGGACCGGAGTGGACTGTTCTCAGCCAAGCTGCGGTCTGGATTGCGGACCGCACGGTTCCTGCGAGCAAGGAAGATGCAAGTGAGTTGACAACAAAGTCCTTTACTTCAAATACCTATATCTACCCACCTAGCATGTTATCCACATGAGCAAGGTACGTACCTCAAACGTCTATAGCAATTCCACTTCTTCCATGGAGTTGCCTGGGAACAAGTTATTTTTACCATACGAGAGTTTACTTTTTCTGTTTTCTTTTCTTACCTGAAATTCAATTCCAATGGAATTGAATTCAGTCGCAGTCAACCAGTGAAATCTATGGACTGTTTAAAGTTTGAGTCAAATAGAGGTTTCATTGGAATTGCTTATCTTTCGCCTATCCCTTGTCACTGGATTTGTTGAATATATATTTTTTTGAAAATTTATCAGGTGTCACGATGAATGGACCGGTACCAAGTGTGATCAGAAACCTTGCGACCTACGTTGTGCAGAACATGGACAATGCAAAAATGGTACCTGTGTCTGCAGTCAAGGCTGGAACGGTCGTCATTGTACTCTTCGTAAGTATAATTACAGAATTTATGTACAATATCTTTTTATACCGTCATAAATTTCTCTTTAATATTATTTCACTTCCACTTTCACAGCCGGATGTGAAAACGGATGTAGCAGACATGGACTTTGCACCCTGCAAGACGGGGAGTACAGCTGCGAATGTTCTACTGGCTGGGCTGGACGCGATTGCAGCATCCAACTCGAAATGGAGTGCAACGACGACTTGGACAACGATCAGGGTGAGTTTTACTATATAAAATTATACAAAAATTTATTCAAAATTTCTCCCCGAACAACAGTAGCATCGATACCGAATTCAATTTAAAGCGATACTTATTGCCGTACAGATCAATCCAAAAAAAAAAATCATTATAAAATTCAAAAAAGAGTCAAGCATATTTTTTTTTGCAAAATAACAAAATTACTGTCGCATGGCTCCCCTTGAAATTTTTTTTTTTCATTTAAAATTCCCCTAAATTAAAAAATTTAATTATTCATCTGTCAATACGCGATACGATCAGTACCTTTTACTTTGGAGCACGAGGGGTAAGACAGTGTACATAAAAAGTAATATTTCGATTAAAAAATACGAGAGGATTCCGTAAGCAGGGGGTTTGAAAATTAAAAAATAGAAGGAAAAAAAAAAGAGAAAGAACAAGAATGGAAATGGGTTTGCGCAGACGGAATGCCCGATTGCTCGGACAGCGAGTGTTGCACTCACGAGACCTGCTCGGATCACATAATGTGTCTGGCGAGCAACGATCCCGTCGAGGTGCTTTTACGTAAGCAGCCACCCAGCGTGACAGCGTCCTTTTATCAGCGCGTGAAATTCCTTATCGAGGAGAAAAGCGTGCAGAGCTACGCGCGTATCGACGAATACAGTGAAAGGTAGGATAGCCGATTTTTACTTGACTTAAAAAAATATCTATAATCGAATATATCAATATATAGGTCGTTCGACGGATAACGATGATAACGACTAACTGATAATTTTTCAAATTTACTACAAACTTTCTCTTTTAAGGATAATTGAACCACGGTTGACAATACTGTTACGTAATTTGTTTTTGAATGTAAACAAAAAAAATTTTTTTTTACAAATATCACCTGTCAACGTACCACGTGGCGAAGGTGACGCAATAATTTTTCCAATAGTATTGTCAGCCAAAGTTTGAAGGTTGCGTGTTGATACTGTAGGTTGACATACGTATATTATAATGAAGAGAGAGAGAGAGAATGGTTCAGAGAGTGTGTTTGTGTATGCGAGAGAGAGAGAGAGAGAGTAGAGGGGTGTACGGCGGCAGTAATCAGGAGAGCTAATGACTAGCCAGGCCGAATACTAAGGAGTACCCCTGGTGGGTTTCATAGACCTTAACCATCCCCTTATCCTCTGTGAAAGAACCCATCCCGCCCCCCGGGCTCGTAACCATCTAAAATGCAACCCTCTGAGCGAACGACCTCCCGAACCTCTGGATACACGTACTTTAGTCTTTTGGCTAGTATCACGGAAGAGAAAAAGTGCAGTTGCAGTGGCAGCTGCGTTGTATTAACATTGCGCAATTGCAGCTGCGAGTTTTTAATTTTGGATTGTTATTCTGATTGTTTTTTTTGTCAGCTACACTCTGCACTTGAAATTTTTTTTTGTTTTTTTTTTATGATTTTCAAAAATTTAGGCTATCGACTTGATACTCTTGTTTGTACTGTAGAATTTTTTTAATTTTGACTTTCTATAAACTGTCGTACTTGTAGGCGAACTGTTTGAGGAATATTTTTTTAAATTTTGTATCGATCCAAAATTATTTTTCGAATTTTCTTTCTCGAGGGAATCTCTGCCAGGAGGGTTGCGTCGGTACGATGTACCGGGGGGTTCGTGTATTTTGTCTAGTGTTTCAACCCTCTGTGTATAACCCGCCATTAACCAAAAAAAAAACAAAAACCAACCACTCTCAACCCATAGTCAAGAAAGCGAGAGAGAGAGTGAGAGAGAGAGAAAGAGAGAGAGAGAGAAGGAGAGATATAAAGAGAGAAAGTGCAAGATTGTGCGAGAGAAAGAGAGCGCGAATGTCGAGAGAATGTGAAATTCTGATGAAAAACGGTAAAAAAAAAAAAATTTGCAAAATTTCATATCCAAAAAACAAAGCATGCAGAGATACACGTGTATAAGCGTAAATACAATCTCTGTATTGTATGTCTATACGTGTGGTTTCCAAGGTAACTGCGCGTCGAGTGAATGCGCGCGAGAAAGATAAAAAATGCGAATGCGTGTGAAAATGATGAAACCGTAACGAAAGAAAAAAAAAAAAAAAAAGAAGAAAGACGAGAATTTAGAAAATAGTTTCAAAAATACGTAAAAGAGCATTAACGATTTTTCGATAACGGCCATTTTTCCTTTATTTTCGCAAGATCGGCACTTCGTCATTTCCTTCGTATACTCTCTTATTTAATATTGAAAAAAAAAAAAAAAAAAAACCGTGACGATCTTGCGAAAATAATTTTTTTTTTTCATCACTCAAATATTAGTATCACTTATCAGCGATGGTAGACACAAGTTCGAAATTGTTCGCTTCTCGTTAATTTTTCGCCATCCTATACGAAGCATACGGTCATTAAGAGTATACACGAGTGTCCTGCTCGCTTCGGTTAATTTCGATATCTCGTGTCTTCGTTTACTTTGGAACGATTCGTATCTTTTTACTCGTCGTGCGTGTCTACTATATAGGTTTCGCCAATAGGATAGCGTTACAATAAAAATACGATAATAAGCGAAAGACAATGAGAAGGCGATGCTGTCTCGTGACAATCGTTTATCTGTACCTACGCTCTACATACACGTGGGCCACCGTGAATCCCAAATAAGGGATTCAGTGACGTCATATTGCAATGGCCGCCAGGTTCGTCCGATTCGCTAGCTATGTCCTTATCATTACATGTTTGTTGCGTAGTTTCCAACTTGTGTCTGTCACAGTGTTTAAAAAACCACTCTGTGTTGGATGATTCTGCGAGTGAGTGTTTCTTTCATGCTGAGAGTCAGAATGAGTGTGTGAGAGAGAGAGAGTGAGAGAGAGAGAAAGAGAGAGAGAGAGAGTGGGGCGATATGAGATAAATCACACAAAATTTTTTTAATATTTCGTTTGTGCGTGTCGAGTGCGTGAGTGAAGTGCGTGTGACGAGTACGCTTGATTAGTGTGTGTCTACGTCTATTGTTTCTGTATGGTGTCCCGTAAAAAAATGTATGGTTTCCATCGTCTGAAATTTTTTTTTTCAAAAAAAATTTTTTTTTCAATTTTTCCAAAAAAAAATTTTTTTTTTCGCATCTCTCACGCGCATTCAAATTGTGAACAAAAAAAAAAAACGTGCATTACCGTTCTCCGACGATCCGAATTTTTTGACTCCTCGCTCCAGTGACATTTTTGGAAACTCATACAAATTTTCACGGCTGACACATATTCGTTTAGCCCGCCCACGCGGGTTCTGTGACCGTGATAACGCCCTTTTTCTTCTCGTTGGTTTTTCCCACACGTAGTGAGTTCTGGAATTCCTTTACACCGCGGTAAGTTGCAGCTACAGTGCTCTCTCGCTAAAAAAAAAAAGTCAAAAAAAAAAAGAAAAGACAAAGCGTTTACATGTCCAAGCCATTTTTTTTATTGCTCGTCGCTCGTTATTACAAAATCATTCTTACATGTCTAGTAATGATAGTTCCCCAGCTTCTTTCCCCTTCATCCCCCCCGCCTAGTAACCTTTGCCGTTTATCACCCAGCCCTGCTCAAAAATCCACAGTGGTCATTAATAATTTATCAAAAATTTTTCCTAGTAGATTCGTATAATTTATCCCCGCCAGTTGATATTAAAAATTTTTTTTTTTTTTTTTTTCAAATTTATCCATCCCTCCAAAATCACCACCCCCTCTTCGCTCTTTATATCGTCCGTCGTTGTTTGCCGTCACTACCGCTTGGTCTACGTTTGCTTCGTCTGTCACTTTTTTTTTTTTATTTCGCCACGCGAATTTCACGTCCCTTGACCGTCGCGTAATTGTTACGTAAAGCGAATAAAAAAAAAAAGAAGATTTTGTAAAAAAAGTTGCATCGCGATAACGAAAATAAATAATTTCGGGCTTTGCGTCACGATCTGGCGTATCCAGTTTTTTTTCTTAAATTTTTTTTTTTGTCATCCTTCAAGGGACGCGAATTCGCCCTTGTCACGCATAGACTAACGAAAATCGTATTGTCTTCTTATGTCGTATCTGTGATATATGTCGTGGGATTGCGTAAACGAAGAATCATTTGTTATCCCTGTGTCTTGTCTTTGTCCTGTGCCAGATACTCTTGTCTCTCTTAGACCTTTAGTGCAGCCAAATACAATCACTATCATCACCAGCAGCAACAACCACAAAAAATATATATATATATATATATACCACCACCACCACCACCGCCACCACCGCCAATGCCGTTGTACAATTGTCTTGTTTTCCACGTGTCTCTTGTGTTTGTTTGTTCGTTTGTTCGTGCGTTGATTGTTTATCGTTGCCAGAGGCCTTTGCACACGTGTATTGCCGAGAAGCAGACAAACCCTCGTCCAGTGTCAAGCATACAATTGCTTAAAAATTAGATGTCTATCGAGAGTAATTACTCTGACCGATATATATATATACGTATATATATATAGAAAGAGAGAGTGAGTAAGAAAGTGCGAGAAGAGAGAAAGAGAAACGCTGATTGAATGGCTGTGGGGGGGGGAAAGAGACAGAGAGAGAGAGAGAGAATGACAGATAATCGTATTGGATAGCGATTCTAACGAATTAGAGGGACGAGGAGAGAGAAAGACAAATTATATACTTGAGAGAGAGAAGGAGAGAGCGAAAGGGAGTCGCTATTTAATACGTGGAGATAAACAAAAAAATATTAAAAAAAAAAAAGATGAAAGAAAAAAAAAAGAAAGAATCCTACAGCCGGAGGGTGAAATAAATTAGAGGAGCTTCCGCGCCGGTCAGACGACTCTGGACGCTTTTTATTGTTTCTTTTGTATGCTATCTTTAACGTAGTGATAACAAAAAATAGTTAGATACAGTCTCAGGGACAGGGTGAGCACGATTGTTGTGTCGACGACCAGAGTCCGCGATGGAAGCTGTGTGTCTATTGTGAAGGATTTGAACGAGAGTGCGAGAGAGAGGGAGTCTGTCTCTATCCTTAATTCCGAAAGAAAGAAAAAGTTTTACCCCATTTCCAGGCGCGATCTTAACCATCCACATATCCAACCCACCAAAAACCATTCACCATCAGCCCTGCTAACCAGCCCACCGCCCTAACCCCCCCTGCGCCCTGAAAGAAAAAGGTATAGAAAAGGGTACGTGCTGTCCGGGAGTTATTCGCACGTGGAGAGAACTACGGAACTCTTGTTGGTAACTCGAAGAACACGAAAAGAGAGAACGAAAGAGAGAGAGAGAGAGAGAGGGAGAGAAAGGAAAGATATGAGGCAATCGATCAATTACGGGATAATGATAATAATTGAAAAACCTGAAAAACCTCCTTCGTCCCTTGTCTGCGTCTGTTCTTCACTTGTCTCTGTGACCCACCGAAAATATTTAATCCTCCTCCTCCCGCCCCCCCCCCCCCCC